TACGACGCCCCAAAAACTGCTCTATTTTTACAATCATCTACACGATTAAGCACTGCTGAACAGGCAGTTAATCAAGGGAATGTAGAAATGACTGAAAGGTACAACGTAGGTCATTAATAAAATTCATTCTCGTCTTCGCACTCATTTTGCACAATGACATATCAATTTTAAGTGTTTATGGCTCCTTCCATATATACATTCTCGATAATAAGCGGTTATGATCGTTTACCTTTTCAACAGGAAAGTCTACATAATACTTACATTAATTTAAAATATATTTTTAACCATAACATTGAAAATCTGGACTCCTTATGAGCCACAACATTCTTTTCGTCAACATCATTTCCAGTATAATTTACATTATTAGCTGACATTCGCCATAATGGATGAAATGAAGTGGCATTTCCTTTTCTTTTCATAAGCTATACACTTATAATTAGCGCTACATTTTCAGCAAGTATGAATGAAGGAAATACCAGTCCTTTTTAATTATGGTTAAGAATGCTGTTAAATTGAGTTCAAGGTCCCATTAATTTCATACATAAATACATGAAAAGGAACGAATGAATTATTTGCTATTGGTTAATAAATTCATACCGCATGTGAGGCTGAATTTATTTGATTTATAAATGAAGCAATGGGTGGCTAAAAGGCATTGGTTTAAACTCATCGCACACAGTTTGAGAACTTAAAAGTAAGACTGTTCTTAACCAAGTGGTCAGCTTCTAGACTGCCCTAACCTAGAATTCTTTTTCAAGCAATTCTGGTGGTTTTAATGATGTGATTATTATCGTAGCCAGATAGTAGATGCAAGAGTATGTAGAGAGAGTAGCGAAGCTTTGAAAGTGAAGCGTAGCTTTAAAGAGTCTCATATCAAGTCGATAAACACACAGGACATGGATACATGTATGTCTTGTATGCTTATCGACTTGATATGAGACTCCTTAAAGCTCCGCTTCACTTTCAAAGCTCCGCTTCACTTTCAAAGCTTCGCTACTCTCTCTACAAGTGTCCAGACCCTCTTCTTAATTGAAATATGAATGATAGAAGCTTGGAATTACGTTTCATTGTCATTAATACAAAGTTTGGGCTGTTGAGGAAGTGAAGCTTCTACCAAAGAATTTTTGTTAAGTTCTGTGAAAATTTTAAAAGCTTGATCAGTTCAATGTTATTCTCAAAAGTTAAGATTTCACTTTCTTTCTAAAAATAAAATGCTTTCATAAAACTTTTCCCTCCATTTTTTCTTCTTGACATCCTTCGTGCAATAACTATGACTTATACTTTCACTATAACTACTCGAAACCAAATACAGCGGCACATTAAAATCGGAACAAAAACTAGCGCTTATTTATGTATAAAGTTGATGTACCTTAGGGGTAATATAACTACAATAGCGATCATCCACAAATTGTGCTATTAATAGAACTTATTTCCATGCTTTTTTTTCACCATCATAAATAAGTATAAGTGCTTTATAATCAGCTCAGCTATAGAATTTTATACGCTATTTTTATAATAGATTTTTTTTTTCACCAATACTCATAAATGGCAGAAGTAACATATTCACATGGGAGCCATAGTCTGTCGCACCTAACAATCAATTAGCTGTCATACATGTCTGTCTATTCTTGTATGTGCGCATACAAACAGCACATGCAATATGTTTGGTTTATCTCGATCAATGCGATTTTCACAGGAAATACCTTTCAAAGCGAAAAAGGCTTTTTTCACTTAGCTATGCCATGCTTCTTACTTTATGTCTAATTTACATTACGTTACGTGCCAATCCATTCATCTTACTATACATTTCAAAAAAATGGGCGATAAAAATAGATCAGAAAACTTTTTTCGCTCGGGGATCATTCAGTAATGACGTCAATCATTTAGGGGGGTGTCGGGGGTTATAAGATTTTATGATACCTGATCACGAAATAATTTTGAGGCAATGAAAAAGGAGAATATAAAAATCCAACTATCAATTGACGTCATTAATGAACACCCCCCTTCTCTTCCAGTCACATTATAAAGCAGTGGCAAAAAAGTGAAATATTCACGGTCAAATCAATTGTGATATGACAAATCATGTGAATATATATAGTGTAAGTATGGCAGTGTCGGTAGCATAAAAAAAGGCACACGAGGTCAAAAGAATGCCGACTTGTAAATGACATTCAAGTTCTTCTTTGCCTTCATGAAAAGTCGTGTTTATATTTGCGATTTCTGCTTTTTCCGTAACGTCATTACAGTAATATGCTACGTCACTAGAAGTTCTTGGTAGATAATAACGCAAATAATGATGATGATATGAACAAAAAATAAATGAAAGGAACTAAGTCAGACAGAAAAAGTAGAAGAAAATTGTGAAAAGTAAGTTTGTGAGTCAAAGTTGCTGCAAATTATTCTAATTGGAGCTGTAAAAATGGTTCAAGGTACTGAAAGTAAAGCTAAGTTTGAATGTAAATATCAAAAATTGAGCCTGAGTGACACAAATATTGAAGGTTATAATACCTAATCGGGACATTAAGGATTTTTGGCAGGACAAAAAAAAAGTGCGATTGTCCCGCTCAAAAGTGCGCAGTTTAACAACCTATACATGAAGTAGTATAAAGTCTTGCAAGTGCTCACGATCATATTCAAAGCACAGTCTGTACCTTGAAGCAGCTAAAAGCATGCTCTTTGTCTGAAAGGGATATTCAAGAAACCATAACCTGATGATGTTAAATCAGATATTGTCCTTAAGATCAAAAATGAAAGAATCCATGTCTTTATTCTTAATTTGGTAATTGTTCATCGATTATAACTTGACTCTTTGATTAAGCTTATGATCGGTGAAATGGCATCAGTGGCCTAAATGGTAGAGCGTTGGCCTTACGTGCCAAAGGTCCTGTGTTCAATCCCAGGCCATGTCTAATTTTCGAAGCTCTTTTTCCATTTCACCGTTCTAGTTACGAAGCTCGGTTCGTGTGTTGGGTGTAGTTTTGAGGTCTTTGGCACAGAATATGCCTCCTTTGCCAGGTATACATCTTGCGCACACGAATTGTGACTAGGTACATTGCAGGGTACATCAGGTCTTATGACGTACTCGTGTCTTTGCAATGTGCAGAGCTTGCAAGTGGTTCGGATCCCACTTTAAACTGTAGGTCTAAAAGGGTGTGGCACAAGAGATTCTGTTCTAATTTGAATCGCAGTGCCTCCAGCTGAAAGGCTGGGTCCTTCACACATTATTATTAAGATAATGATTCAAGCAATGATCTAAGTTATAATTTACTGATATACTGATCAAGGTATTTAGAATCATATTATAAGCTCCATAGTTAATCCATTCAATACAACAGCATCGCAGCTTAATTCCATTAAAATGATTGTTTTAGCTAAATGCGCAAAAAGGAGGAAAATGAAATGTGCTGACTAGTTATAAGCAATAAAAAGAAGTTGAAGTTTATTTCCTTTAAAGTGAATGATGTGTGATAACTTATAAAATTATACAGCTTGTTATTTAATTACGCCATCCAGCAGTAAAGGCAATAAATTATGATTTTAGTCAGTAAATGTCATGGACTACACAAAATTGTGACATGACTGTCTACAAAAAAGTATATTAGGTCCTCAATGTAAATACAAATTACATGTCTGAGGTAATAGTTTGGCAAGAGGACAATATTCGTCATAGCTTCAACATGCTGAGTAGTTATTGATTACAGAATATTCATCAATATTCATACATGACAGTTCTCATTAGCCATAAATCGTCAGCACATGTGTGTGAATAATGCGATATCTAAAAATAAATTCATGTCAAGCCGTAGCTTGATAATGAGAAGGAACAAGTTCCAAGAAAATAAAATTTTCACAACAAAGCTTCTATTTCGGAAAAAGCTTAATTTTAGTATTTTGCCTTTGATTACTGTAATACACGATTGTGAGGCTTGATGAATTAACTTCTGTTCTTTAATGCCATTACCAAAAAATCTTAAAGACGAAAACCTTGCGATCATATTTTAACACAGGCATAAACTTACACGTGCCATATTATCGATAAATAAGCGACTTGTAGCATGTTAATTCCTTTAGTTTTTTTTTCGGATGCATGAGCAGCTTTGAAAAATTATTCAGCATTAGTTTATAAATCTGTTTCATGTTATGACTCATGGGAGCTATTATGAAGCATTTGTCATGTGACTTTGTTGTGCTGATGACTATTTGAACAATTTTTGAGGTTAGTTTATGGATTGAAAGGATTTGTTTAAAGCCCAACTTGGGATTATTAAATTGAAACTTTGTGAATCTTTTTCCAATCATTGATTGTGGACGATGTCATTGCCTCTAAGTCTTGCTTTATTGATATTTGATCTTAGGGGTTTAGGGGGTCCCCGGATTATAAAATCCTTATCGGATTAACCAAACTACATTTATTCAAAAATCAACAATAAATTTCCTCATTTCTTGATTAGATCATTAGACTAGATACACAAATTCATTCCAAACTTCATGCAAATTCTATTAAACTTCCTCAGTCTTTAGTCAGCACGATTAAAACAAGAAATTTCATTCATCGCTCCTTCATTTTCATTTCCATTGATTCTATTACGTTGTTTATCGCAAAACTTTTCACCTTAATGTACAATTTATGTAGTACAATGCCATGAAACTTGAAATCATCCAAAAAAAAAACAGGCTAAGAAAATGTTTAAAGAACTTTTTATAAAACAAAAAAAAAGGAAAATAAAATGTTTTTTATTTTTATACAGCACAAAGAAGCATGAATGAAGTCTCTTATGTACTTGCTTATACTTATATATTGTAAAATAGAAGCACGCACATTTTATGGGAATGAGAGGCACAACTATCATAATAGTTTCAAAAGTTAAATGAGGACGCAAGTCTTTCTCAATATTATAATCATTTCTTTTTCTGTGGGAAAGCCACAATGTGTTACAAACAAACTAAAACTATCTTCTTAATTGCTATTATCAATGTTTCATAGTTTTGCCATTACTTACTTTCGTACATAAAACGTAACTTTCGAATTGGGCGTTGAATTACACGTGACTTTAATTTATTCATTGAATATATAATGTCAATTTCTTGTATATAGTGCGCGCATACCAGTTTGTTTTATTTTCGTATAATGCGCATGCCAGATATCATTTGTGTGTCAATACTCATTTCATTCACATAATACGCACCATTCATGTTAAACTTCAACTATGTAATGCAAAATATTTCATTCTCTTCCCTCCTTTTATTCTTCCAATCCAAACAAATGATAAGCTGTCTAATTAAAGCCATGCAAAGCACTATCACGTTTTTAAACTATACATTCATTGTCTTTAGCCCTTATATTTTATTTTTCGCTATATTTTTAATGACTAAAAATATTGTTTGAATTAAAAAGAAATGCATATCAATTATAAATGTTTATACCATTGCAGGTGACTTAACAAACGTTTCCATATCATTATATATAAATAGGATATCAGCTGTGGATGAGAATAAAGAGGTTAATTAAAAAAGAAATTGTGGAGGTGATCATTAATTAAAGATAAAAACTACTTTGTGTGACATTTTTAGGAAATTTCATTTGATGTTTTCCTTCAAGTCGTGTGGGTGGAACCGAGAATAAAGCCGAACACAGAACTGGGTGAGAAGAAATACATAGAGTTAACGATAGAACAAAGAAACCAAATATGGACACCAGATGTAAGTTCATGGACCTTTTTCATTTTATAATATTATCGCTATTTCAAGATCAAAAGTCATGCAATAAAGTTAGATAGCTTGTCTGTTGGGGAATTAAGTCTAGTTCATTATTGATTATTCTTAATTAAATAATTGCATCACATTAAAGTTAATTGCCTTGCTGCTTTCAATTATCAAAGCGAAAAAGCTATTCATTTATTATGAAGTAATCTCAGGGTTAAATGGACTAATGTCTTGTTCTGGAACCAATTGCTTGGTTGAACTTCATTTGTTAATAATTCTTTAATATTTCATTCTGTTATTTACAACTTCATCCTTATTACAAACACTAAGCATCAACATTCTAATTTACTTTTATTTCTTGTCTACTTTAACCAGCTCTACATACGGCAGCTACGTGAAATGAAGATTTTAAAGCTCTTTGAGGAAATCTCTAGTCTTCGAATATATGAAAATAGTACAATAAGTTTGAGTATAGGAGCAACAATTATCATAAAATGTGATATGGATTTTGTTTTGTAAGTTCTGTGTCTTGTTGTTCCTTAAAAGATGTTGTAGGCTTTCGTCAAGGGTGCGGAACTTTGATCAATCAGTTACGCACTCTTGGCTCCAGCCCTTGAATTACTGATCTAGAAAACTTGAATGTTGTTCACTTAAAACGTGTAAAGGACCATACAAATTCTTGCCATGTGACGTCATTTATGAGTGAATTTTTTTTCGTCTCTTTTTCGTCATTTTGCTCCTTAAAAAGTGAACATCCTCTTGACACATAAAATAAATGATAATGTTTTCAATGAATTTCTATATTTAGATATCCATTAGACGTCCAAAAGTGTCCTGTCGATTTCAGTAGTTGTAAGTATAGCCAGAATAACTTATCTCTAAAATTAAATTCATTTTTCTACATTCAGATAAATATTCAGTTAATGAAATGGCTTTCCATTGGCGTAAGGATAATCCCCTAACATTCCCAAATGATTTCGGTGAAAATGGCTTTCGACTTCCTAAATATGTGGTAAAATTATTACGTGATAAGCTTCATTCCATGTTTTTTTTAATACTAATGAAAGATTAATTTATTGAAATAGGTATCTTTCGACCCAAGGGAAGAACCGTATCCAGTCAACTTTGATGGTGACGGTAATAATGATAACACAGCACTATTTTATGGTTGTTAGTAGTCAATGGGAGTATTTTAATTAGACATTTAGGCTTTTTATTGTTTGAGCTTTTTAGTAACGGAATTCAAAATTTTGAATATTTTTCTAAACTGTTGAAAGGTTTTAACAACTTTTGTTTAAGCTGTTGTAAAGTTTTGATTTTTAAATGTGAAAAGTTCGTTAAATTTAAGCACAAAATATGCTTAAACAATTAAATTTTTGTTCAGAAAAGCTCATTTATGTTTCCTATTGCCTTTATCGATACGTCAAATTCCATTAGCACGAGCTTTTCCTTCTTACGCTATCGCAACACGCCAAATTGATTAAATGTGCTGCTTTATACGCATAATTTTTGTTCTTTTACAACTTAGCAAATATTTTCAAGTCATTGAATGTAAATAACGTCAATAATCAGATAACGGATACATGCTATAGTATAAACATATTCTTCTTGCCTTCTTTCCAACATTTAAGCTGATCGGATTTCGGCGCGTCTTGAAATAACATTGTCACGGGAAGTGAAAAGCTACTTGCTTGAAAATTATCTACCATCTACACTCTTCACGGTAATATCATGGGGTTCATTTCTTATTATACCAACAATCGTTCCAGGTATGTTACATTTTAACGTTCATTTCCTGATTCATTTCATGACAATTCTCAATGTCTAACCTGCTTAATCTTAATGCAGGTAGAATGGTATTACTGGTAACAACACTGTTGTCACTTGTCACCATGTTTGATACGGTGAGAAATAATTCACCAGACGCCTTGGAATTGAAATCGATTGAAGTGAGTAGAGCTTTTGTTTGACTCAGGGGATTGGCAACTTGAAAAGCTTTTCAAAATTTTAAAAAATTCTTTGAAGTTCAATTTTTGAACTTCTTTTAAGTTCAGTTTTTGAACTTTTAAATTTTGAATTGTCGTTATAGTTCAAAATTGGATACAGTTGAAATTTGAATTTTTAATTTCAGTTAAAGTTCAAATTTTGAACTTCTTTTAAGTTTAGATTTCAAAATTTCGTTAAAGTTTAAATTTTGAATTTCTGTTAAATGTTGAAAATGTTTTTTTATAATGTCATAAGTTGTTCACCCCCTGATTTTCGCTTATTCAGCCAATAGAGCTAATTTCTTTACAATCATCACTTCCTTTCTATTACCATTCAAGGTCTGGCTGTTATGTTGTACATTCTTCGTGTTTCTTGCGCTAATGGAGTATTTTATTGTGCTATTTGGCATTCGATATGATTCACACTGGCGAAGAACGCAGTTTGTCGCTCAAGCTCATGCCGCGTCCGGGTTACATCCACAACCATCACCGGCTAGAATTAATATACCTAATCAAAATCTACAAATTCCAAATCAATCGAGCATCCCGAATCTTCCGAACGTTGAAACGCCGGTAAAAATTGAAATTTGCTAAATTTAAAAAAAAAACTTTATAAAAAAATTGGGAAATTAATTTTGAATTAATTATGATTTTTTACAATTTTTATTATAATTTTAGAAATTTTGTTTTCTTATTAGAACTCATAATTTTGTTATCAGACAACCTTTTTCTCTATCTATATACTTTCAGTTATTAACGGATACAAAAAATGAGGATGTTATTATTGAGGTTAATTTAAATAATATTTTAAAAAAGTGAAATTGCCTCCTTTCACAAATATTTTGTTTATGAACTGAAATTCACTGTTTTGTGATTGACCGAAAAAATAAGCTTGCAATTAACTTTGAAAAAAAGTTTTTCCTCATCTTATGCTCATTATAAATAACATTTTTACATACACAAGCATATAAAAACTACATGCTGTACACTAAGTTTTTGAGTGGATATGCAACTGTCAGGAATTGATGATGATTATGGTTTGTTGACAAAAGGATGGTGTTGATGTTTGTTTCGAATGCTTTAACCTTAAAAATCTACAGATTTAAAGTTGAAATTTCTTATATTATCAATTCTTTGTTAATTTTCTGACTGTTCTTAATTTTAAATCAGTGTTGCATTCTGGCTATTTGTCTGGATCAGATAAATTCTGAGACAGAAATTTCTTCATAAAATCGATTCTACATGTAGAAAGAAATAAACCATCTACATGTAGATTGTGTCTATATGTAGAATCTGTCTACATGTAGATTTAATGTAGATGTCTACGATTCTACATTCTTCTCTGATGTAGACCTGGAAAAAATGTAGAATTATAGACATCTACATCGAATCTACATGTAGACAGATTCTACATGTAGATGGTTTTTTTCTTTCTACATGTAGAATCGATCTTTATGAAGAAAGTTTCTTAGCTAGACAAAAACTATTGAAGAATCTACATTCTTCATCTAGTGTAGACATCTACATTTGCAACACTGTTTTAAATCTATGAAAATCTAGCTCTTAACTGAGTCTGCACATCAATCTTATTGGTCTAAACAATCCTTATGAATTTGCTTACTATCTTCAAAATTCTTAACAAAATTGAACTGCGAATCTCCAAATCTTAATCCAACAAATCAAATATAAAATGTAATCACGAAACTCCCTTTTGTCAACGAAATCTAATTCCAAAACTCAATTTCTGGCAAACCTTACACAACATACGTACACACAAAGTACAATGATTTGAAATTCAATTTTGTTTTTATATTTTTTTTTTGTGAATATTCCACAATTATTGTGTCAAAATTCAATTATTATTTAGTTTTCATGCAAAACAAATGGTTTTTGATTGAAGTCTTGAAAAGACTATGTTCATGCAACAAGTACCTTTTTTTATTATTCAAATTTCTCTTTGTTCAATTTTTTTTCTATTTTTTTTCCTGTGTATTTTTATCAAGATTTTTCATTGCAATTTGCGTTTCCTGCTTAGCTGAATATTTTATTCCTTAGAAATGTAAATTATTCAATGTAATCTGAAATTGCTCACACAAGCTCCGGATCAGATGTTGGATAATTTACATTTCACTTCCGTTTCGTTCGTAATTTTATTTCTTACTTCCTTCTTATTCACACGTGTTCATTTGGGTTAGATGACGTCTTTGCAGCAACAAAGAAAAAATGGATTGGAAAATGCATCGAGAATGTTTCAGGCTAATCGAATTAATCCTGAAGAGAATCGAAGTAGACGAGATCTAGCTGCATCGACATCTGAAAGTCTTCATACGGCTGAGAAAGTCTCTTCGATTATGGGAAGAAAACGGTGAGGAACTTGACAAGATCCAGTAGAATTTTACGTTACTTATTTACATCATTACAGCTTTCGAAATGTTGCCGATGTGGCACTTCTGTATGCAGGATCACAACGAGGCAAATTGGACCAAATCTCTCTCGTATTCTTTCCATTAAGTTTCCTTTTATTCACAATAATCTACTGGGTTCTTTACCTTAATGAATCGCGAAAAAAGTTGAGTAGTTGAGTAATTAAACAAGCTATTTTTAAAACGAATCTAGTCATTAATTATATTTACCTTTTAACATGAAAAAAACATAAGCAGAGGAAGTATATTATATACATAAAATAATGATATTAGATATATTCCAAATTTGCCTTCTAATTTCAAGAACAACAAAAAATTTAAATTAATTATACTAAGTGCAACTTTAATAATGAATAAAAATGAGAATCAAGTTCATGCCTTATGAGAAAAAGTTAATTAAAGATTTTAAAATTTATAAATATTGTTAAATTCATTGAAATAAAGTTTTAAAGCTGCGCATTGAAATTGAATTATTGGAAGGATAATCGAAGATTGCGATGGAATGAAGCTTTACAAATTCTCAAAAGTTAAGCAGTACTTATTGTTCACTTATTACGTTACGCAAAAAAACGACTTTTTTTTTCACCCCACCTACCCCCCCCCCCCCTCCCCCCCTTGTTACAATATGTTACAACTCACAACCCCCCCCCCCCCCCCCCCCCCGAACGTTCACAATTTATTTTATTTTGATAAAAAGTTATTGACCCCCCCCCCCCCCCCTATGTTACATTTTTTATAATTTTTCAACCTTATATGCTTATGTTGTAGACATTGGTCCCTAGTTTATGGGAAAAATAATTTTTTCCCCCGGAAGTGCCTGGTTCACGAGAAAAGAGGGTTTGAATTTTTGTACTTCACGTAATTTTTAAAATGCTATTGTGCTTCACCTACTTATCCGTTTGTCTTCAAATTTTTTTTATTTGATAGATACAAGTGAGAACTTTCTTATAAATATCCACATGATATACTTTTTGTGCATATTGGTTCCTAAAAGTTGAAAAAAAGTTTGAAAAAACTAGGTTTTTTGTCATTTTTTGGACCTCATGACTATATCAGGCTTTCTAAATATTTTTAGATTGCAGTATTTTGTAGATCTCATTTATATCTACAAACATCACATGCATAATCTACAGATTTTATGTTGTTTGAGTAGTGAAAATTAACTTTGAAGTCAAAAATTTGCATATTTTTTGCTATATTCTCAATTGTGATCCACTGTCCATGTCCGGCTCCCAAATTTTATTTCATTAATTTGTAGACCCTAGTTTGCTCTATCAATTAAAGCAATAAAAAAAAGAATCACTTGCCGGAAAGCTTCAAAATATGAGCCTGAAGTTGGTCTTGTGAGGTATCTCAAAATTCAAAATGAATTTTCTCATACCAGTCTTAATGAAAGGAACTGAAATTTTCAGGTTTTATTCAAAAAGCAATGTACTTAACATCCACAACAAAAGTTTTTAATTATAAACACAATTTTGTTGAAAATTTAGGCAAAAAGTGATATATGATGTTGTGAAACCATTAAATGCTCAATAAAGCTACTATAACTAGTTTAAATCAAAACATATCTACAATTTTCATATAGTTCATTTAAAAAGCTTTCCAATGGTATATAATAAGTCATATAAAGATGTGATTTCTAGTAAATATCATCAAAGTTATAAAAAATGTATCAAATTTTAACGAATCTGGAAACCTATGCTTGACATTTTTGCTTAGAACTATTGTAAATCTTAAGCATATGCAATAATTTTAGTATTGTTAGAAAGCTTAAAGTAGTGTTGATGCATTTAAAAAGAAATTAAACCTCATTAGCAGCTAAGAGAACAGATATGCTAGGTTCAATATGTCATACTTTGACTGCCATTACTGGGCACAAAGGTCATTCCACTTTTAATTTTTGGACTTTTTTCTATAGATCTATGCTAGAACTATAAGATAAATGTCATAAAAGTAGTTTTTCATGGTTGACTGAAACAAAATTGTCTAAATAAAAACCTTAAAATTTGAGATTTTTTGATTAAATGCATTTGCTGGCATTTACTATTTTACTGAAATTAACATCGGAAATCTACTTTAATGGAATTTATATTTGATTTTTTTGATGATATTTACTAGAAATCACATCTTTATATGACTTATTTTATACCATTGGAAAGCTTTTCAAATGAACTTTATGAAAATTGCAGAAATGTTTTGATTTTAACTAGTTAAAGTAGCTTTATTGAGCATTTAATGGTTTCATAACATCATATATCACTTTTTGCCTAAATTTTCAACAAAATTGTATTTTTAATTAAAAACTTTTGTTGTGGATGTTAAGTACATTGCTTTTTGAATAAAACCTGAAAATTTCAGTTCCTTTCATTAAGACTGGTATGTGAAAATTCATTTTGAATTTTGAGATACCTTGCTAGACCAACTTCAGGCTCATATTTTGAAGCTTTCCGGCAAGTGATTCTTTTTTCTTATTGCTTTAATTGATGGAGCAAACTAGGGTCTACAAATTAATGAAATAAAATTTGGGAGCCGGACATGGACAGTGGATCACAATTGAGAATATAGCAAAAAATATGCAAATTTTTGACTTCAAAGTTAATTTTCACTACTCAAACAACATAAAATCTGTAGATTATGCATGTGATGTTTGTAGATATAAATGAGATCTACAAAATACTGCAATCTAAAAATATTTAGAAAGCCTGATATAGTCATGAGGTCCAAAAAATGACAAAAAACCTAGTTTTTTCAAACTTTTTTTCAACTTTTAGGAACCAATATGCACAAAAAGTATATCATGTGGATATTTATAAGAAAGTTCTCACTTGTATCTATCAAATAAAAAAAGTTTGAAGACAAACGGATAAGTAGGTGAAGCACAATAGCATTTTAAAAATTACGTGAAGTACAAAAATTCAAACCCTCTTTTCTCGTGGACCAAGCACTTCCGGGGGAAAAAATTATTTTTCCCATAAACCAGGGACTAATGCCTACAACATAAGCATATAAGCTGAATTTTTGACAAACTTTTCACTTTTTCGATCAACGTGTATTACTTTAGATTTAAATTTTTAATTGCAAAACATTAAAGTCGAGTACCTGGTTATTAGAAAAGTGCTTTATATTCCACATAATTTTGGAAATTTTTTTTAAAATAAAACAGATTAGATTTCAAAAAATAACTCCTAATTTGAGAATTTGTAGGGTTTTGAAACATTCAAATAAAAAGTCGTTATGAAAAGCAATTGATTTTTATAATAAACAGATGAATTTAAATTCATAAATTCTGAAACGAAAAATTTAAAGCAACAAAAAATTAAATTGTAACTGAACCATTGAGCTTTGCTTCTAACACCTGAACAAAAAGAAAAAGACATTATGTGATATTATAAATGAAAATGTAAAGGAATTCCCTTCAAAAATCCCATTTTACGAGCTTTCATTTAATACCTATCTTAAATTTCTAACATTGCATTACAAATTCTATAAAAAAGTTCTATAAAACAAATCTTAATGATAAATTTAATTAAATTCAATTTACCATCTGTTTATATACATAAATATATATTTTATGAGTTTCAAAGTTGATTATATATAAATACAGTTCTATATTATTATACGGCATGAGCTTTATGTTGATTTTTGAAAGCTTTTAATGTTTATTTAACGAACTTTTGAAATTTCAACTAAAAACTGTCCAAATTCAAATTGAATTCAACCATTTGTAGGGTTCTATTATTTGAAACTTCCGTTAAAAAGTTAAATCTGAAACCATACAATTTCCAAAAACATTCATAAGGTTTTAAGAAATCCGTTAAATTTAAATCGAAAACTGTTCAATTCCAAAACAATTATCAAACATTTGTAGGGTTCTGAAATTTGAATTTGAAAAATTCGTTACAAAATCATCAAAAGCTTACAAAACCCAACCACCAAGTTCCTGAAAACCAAAGAAAAACTTTAAATAAATAAATTTTAAGATCTTTTTTTCTCAAATGCTAATTTTTGTATTTTTTAAATTTCATGATTTTTATTCATTGATCTTTTTCATCAACTCATCCTTATCATATGTGTTAAGTATATTAATTACATGATTTTTTAAGGGCATCAATCTTCTAAAAAGTATATTTATTTTTTTCTGTTATATTTAACATAAATCATAATTAATAGTTTTTAATGACTACACAAAAAGTTAATAGAAACAAAGTAAAAACTCCTTTATGCTCGCCGAGTCATCATCGTGAAGAAATTTATTTTCCATTCCAGTAAACAATTTTTCCGTTCTCAAATGCCAAATTAATTCTTGGTGCCGGAATTAATTTACTAATTCTTATATTTCGCACATTCTCATCGTCAAAGTACTATATGCATAGAAACAAGAATGAAAAACCATAAATTAAGGAACAATATGAATATTAATTGCTAATTACCATGCATTGAGTGATGAATTTCATAAATTTATCATTCATATCAGCATTAATATGTTGAACTTTTGAAAGACTAGAGATTTAAAAATAGAAGCATATAAATTAATTTTAATAATCAACTAATGTTCTAGGTCACACTTACTTATCGTTTGTTGCCAGATGTTTTACAAAATATTGGCAAATGTTCGTGTTGACATCCACATCGAACAACGGAATACCAAAGTTAATATCAAGAACTGTCCATTCCTGAAAATTGAAAAAACTGTCATTCAGTATTCAAAAATTAACGATCATTTAAAATTCAAAAATCAACAAAGTTCAAAATTTGAACAATAAATTCAAATGTGAAAAATAAGTTAAAATTCGAATTCAAAAAGATCGTTGAAAATTCATACCTCTCCCAAATATTCACTCGTCTCTTCCTTCACATCGTCCAACTTCTCACGACTATCGTCATCAACTAGTTCAATTTCAATAGAGCTCTGTGACACCATATGTCTTGGAATGAATTTTTCGTCGTCATCTAATTTTTTATTATCACTCTTATTTAATTCCGCTAATTCACTCTTTAACACATCATTACAGTCAGCACTTCGATAAACATTTGATGGCGATGTATTTTTAGGTGTCGAGGCAAAATGATTCTCATCTGGTGACTTGAGCATCGACAAAGATCCATCAATAATTGTCTTACTGCTTAATTGCATAATAATGTCTGTACTGTCTAATGGCGATTGGAAATCTTGTAATGAGATATCTTTAGAAATTGTTGGTAATGTATTGGGTCGCGTTGATTCAACGGCTACAACTTTTCCTGGCTTTTTAGCTTTTGGCCTTTGCAGGCACACGTCAATGTCGAATTCCTCACATCCAAGATCTGGTACGCCTGTCTTTAAGAATGTTATATATCCACAAACGTCTTTAAGATTAAGTACATCCATTAATTTATCAATAGACTTTTGATTCTTCGATTTCTCCTTTTGTCCTCGACTTGGTGATGTCTTATCAACTGGAAACGCTTCATAACAAACTTCACCAGGCTGTCTAATTCCATAGCCTTGTACAAGCACATGATTCTGCCTTAATTGATCATTTAAGGATTTAAAACTCTCCGAATTAATAACATAAGAATCAGATTGAACAATTGTAATGAGCAGCTTGCCATAGCCCAAAAATAAACGTGGCAAATTTTTTAGGACGGTTCCTTTGACAAGGAGCAATGTTGGTGGTCCGAATCCTGAGATATGATAGTAGAATAGTCTTGACCAGAAATGAGAATGTTCAGAACTTCTATAAAATTGACCATAAAATGGAATTGAAAACATTTCGTTTAATGAATTTGTTATCGTCAGTGGTGCAGCAGCTATAATGAACTTGTACTTCTTTTCCAGCATCCTATCGCGTGTTTTTTGGTCTAAATTTTCAAGACATTCAACTCTAATTAAGTCCATCGTTGAGAATCGCCTTCGAAGTGCAATTATAGTCGATCTAAGGATAACAGCATGTGCAAAATATCTTGATACTTCGCCTTCACCTTCTGCATCCAATAATGACACTTTTTCGAGTTCTGTTAAGAATGTATCCATACTTTCCTCACACAACTTTCCAACTTCAAACATCGTGACTGCATGATTCTTCAAACCTGGACTTAAATTGCCCATCATCAAAAAGGCTGTTAAAGTCGAGTCAAAAAGAAATCCAATTCGTTTTTCATGTATTTGTGGCGATTTTTCAGCTGGTTTCTCACTCAAATCCTCAATTTCGGAACTGATTTCATTTGAACTGTCTGGGGAACTCTTTCGATTGTTTAGGAATGAAAAGTCACTTGTATTTCCATCAGACGATGTTCCACCGTCACTGTTTGGTGCCTTATTTGAACTTTGTGGATTATTAATACTTGCGGTAAAGTCTGGATTAATGAAACCTTCATTATCTTTATCCAACAATAGTGCATGATAATTCAGTGGCGTGATTTGAAGTCTTTCAACATCCTCCAGTGTCCTATTTCGCCACGATTCGTGCACATTTTGAACTTCTTTAGTATTTTTCACTCGAGCAAATCCCAAACGTACAAATAGTGAAATTACATGCTTTACCGTGTCTAAATCAATTTGATTGAGGTGAGCTAATTCAGATATTTTCATGTGTTCATCTGCAGTCATGAAAATTTTGTAGCAAAGACTCTCAAAGTAATCGCCAGTCACACGATTCATGATGAAATTTTTTAGTGGTGGAATGCTGATAAAATCTTCACCTAAATGTTCGTAATTGAAATTTGCACACAATTGTTCTTTTTTGTGGAGCACTAGAGTGTGCCAATGGATGATTTGAATGTCATTTAATTACTTTAAAAATCTTGTGTTTTATAACGTATTTTTGTATTTAAAATTTTTGAACTTCATTGATCCGGTTCAAATAATTTGAAATTTATGTGACAGTTATTATTCAAATATTTTTTTAAACGTTACATCTTTATCTTTAACATCACATCCATTGACACACAATACACTCTCAAAAAATAATGAAAATGAATATTAATTGACAAATTTACTACTTACCGCTAATCGGAACATCTAAGTAAATAAGACCTTTTCTATACAAGCTATGCACGACATTGTAGTCAATCGTGCCAGCCGTTTGCGATCCAAAGTCTATTAAATCGTCAATCACAGCTCGTTCCTTGTCATTCACATATTTGATATCAATCTCTAAAACAAGTCCAACTTCAACGCGCCACCACTCGTCAATGGTGATTTTGGATGGAAACTTAGGCAGGAATTGATAAGGATTTGGCTTTCTAAACAACTTGGACGTATTCTTCGTCTTCATCTCACTCAATATGAACAAATATTCATTACGGCCAATTCCAAGTACTCTTAAAATGTCAGCAGCAGTAAAATTTGGTAAGGTATCGTAGCTTTTATCTAGCTTTAAAAGATGTGCCAATACTTCAATGTAGAAGTTAAATGGTGTTATTCGTAAACCTTTTGTAACAACATCCGACAAGTGATAAGGAAACAAATTGTAGGTTCCGATACTTTTATCGATGAGAAGCTCATAGTACTTCATTTCATTGCGAAATATTTTGTGAACTACAAAAGTAGAAATGAAATGAAAGTTTATTATCATTTTTTTAGTCATCATTCTTATCAGTTTTATATAACGCCTATGAAGATAGATGTATTATATGCACGATTAATGTAATGCCTTACCAAGATTTCCACGATAACGCAATTGATTTTTCAGCGAGTAATTGAATACATATTTTTCGTAATCTTTCTGTGAATTGTTGAGAATCTAGAAAGATAAAAATATAATGTTAATTAAATTCACAGCTATAGCATTGAGTAAATAGAGGAACTAAGTTCTGTATCTTAATAAAATTACAACAACAAAAACATTTCACGTCATAAAAAATTTGTTTTCTTAAATAATTCAAAGATTTGCACTTATCGATACATAGAATCAATAAATCCATGTTTATAACACGTTCATTAATTTTATCAGGCACTAATCAATGATTCATACCTATAAAATCTACTGGATTTATTGAATAAAGTGAAATTTTCAACAACATTTTTACCTGTTTTAGATGAATTGGCAGCAACTGCCACAATACCTTATTCCTAACTGATAAATCGAGTTCAGTTGACAATTTACTTGCCATTTTTGCCTTATTTTAATGCCATAATTATTGGATATTCAATTAAAATCAAAATTCACTAAAATTTTTATTTACATCAATTTTTCCTCACTGACCTGGATTTGTTGATGATCCAGTAGCAAATTACACAATGATTACTCGATTGTAGACAGCTTTGTACGAATAAAAACACTGAAAAATACAGCACAAGAGAATGTTTCGGAAAATTTTATTGAATTATAGAAGTATTAACAATTTTCATAAAACAATCAAGTTTGATATTAAATATTTAACACAAAAGAGAGACTTTCACGTATCATTAAGTAAGGATCAATCAATAACTTACTCTATATACTCAATTCATTGTCAAACCACTTGAAATTTTTCAGGTAAATTGTCTGGAGAATATGAAATGCAAGATCCAAAGAGTGAGGAGGAAGTGTAAGTTTATTATGCAATCAATTTAATTAATTACAATGCATTGACTCATTTAATTGCAGTGTGAATGTGACTTTCATTGATAAAGCAGGAAGATCAATAGACGTTCGAGGTAAAGTAGGTGATAATGTACTGTATTTAGCTCATCGATTTGATATCGAGATGGAAGGAGCATGTGAGGCTTCTCTAGCATGTACAACATGTCATTGCTATGTGCTGGATGATTATTATGATAAACTTCCGTTTGCTGAAGAGAAGGAAGATGATCTCTTAGACATGGCACCGTTCTTAAAGGAAAATTCTCGCTTAGGTTGTCAAATTATTCTAACAAAGGAACTGGAAGGACTGAAAGTTGAATTGCCGAAGGCTACGAGGAACTTTTATGTTGATGGTCATAAACCAAAGCCTCACTAATGTTCAAATTATTGCTATACGACTCCTTTACCACCTACATACACATATTATAAATGAATCTTAGCTTTCATCTCATCCTTTAGAAAAATATAAACAAATTGCTGGGGATTCTCGATTTACATAGCTCAAAACATTTGTAGGAACTGGAATTTTGTGTTCAATGTGTTTAGAATTTAATCTGCAAATTCCAATTCTTATAGATTCAAGCAGTTATGCAGATCGAAGACCCCCTGTAAATCACTATAGTTAGTCAAATTATTAAAATTGGATTTTAAAGTTATTCAGTATTTGAATAAGAAAAAGTCTTGAGCACGTTCAAGGGTATATTTTTGGAAGGAGTCAGAAGACGCTAATTCAATAAGAAAACACATTTAAACGATATTCCTCAATTGACTCAGAAGTTGCATTGACTCTATGTTAGAATCATGTAATTTAACGAAGAATAGCTAAGTATGAAGTTTCAAAGCTTTAAAATCAACAGAGCAAAAAACTCCTTAGGTACAAAATTATAAGAAAACAAATGTCACCAGGAAATTAAAAGGATAGTTGTAAGCAAGCTCATGGAAAGGCTGAACTCACCAGAACTTGGGAACACGCTTACAGGATTAGACATATCCTAGAAAAATATTTAAAAAAGCTGAAAATAGTAAAAAATAAAATTTCATTACTCAACAAGTAGCTCTGACTGCTTCCAATAACTGCTGCTCAGAAACTGAAATACAAAAAGGAATTAATAGAATATCAAATTGGCCTCTGAAAGACTATAAAAAACTATTAGAAATAATAAATTGTAGATAAAGACAATAAAATACAAGCAAAAATGTTTTATGTTCAATTTTTTTACTTTATTTCTTCATTGATGTTTAAATTTAATATTTAAGCATTTTTCACTTCCATTAGATTTTTTTTTCTGTGTGTAAATTAATATTACGTCTATAAAGTAATATATTACTAACAGCTTATCCTCTTTTTTTGCATAAATTTTTTCGGAAATGATTGTTTTCTTCTTCATAGTTTTTTATATTTTCATTTAAAAAAGAATTTTTATTCTATTAAAAGTTTCATATTAACCAATTTTTCATGTCTTCTAAAAAGTTTTTTTTTGCAAATTGCTTTAAATTTCATTTTTATTTATTTCTCTGGAACATCGAAAAAAATCTTTTCCTACATTTTTTGGCATCATTTCTTTCTTTATTTTTCTTCATTTATTGTTTAAAATGCTTAATAATGCGTTTACAGTAATCTTTTTACAAAAAACTATGTTTTAGTCCAGCTCAGGCAGGCGTTGATGTTGCATGAAAACCGTTGATTTTTGAATTTTTCGTTCAAAACCTTACAAATTATTTTGAATTTGAATGGTTTTCGAAATAACGTGCTTCAAAACCATACAAATTTTTAATGAATGAAGTTCTTGAGAACCATACAAATGTTTTCAAAAACCTCACAAATATCAAGAATTTGAAGGGTTTTCAATTCAAAAATTTCAAAAAAATCAGTCAAATTTTCTTAATATAATTTCAAGCAACATCAACGCCTGAATTAAGATGAATGAAAATGAAAAATGAATGAATGGATGCAATATATAGAGATGAAAATAATGAAGGGATATAATTTTCTTCTTATATCTGAAACAGGTCATTATCATTATTAATATTTATTAGATATTATGTTTTTTTAATTATTATGGCAATATTCTTCAATAATTTTTTTCATATTTTTTTTTTGATTATCCAATCATTATTTCCCTTATCATATAATACGTTACGTAGTTCTTATTGAAACTATAATTAAATAAATAGAAGGAGCAATAATATTCAGGCTCCTTAATTAAGAATAAAATGTTCACTAATCTTTAAAATGACTATAAACTTCATCAATTATTTCCATTTCATCGTTCGGAATCTCTTCATCATCCAAAACCTTACGTTTTCATCCTTTTCAAAAAATATATATATCATCATTTTTTTACGTCATAGTTTCAATAATTATTATTAATTAAAATTGTATGTTTAACTTGTATATAGTTTTTTGTGTGTGTATGTGTGTGAAAAAATCTGTCTTTTGTGTGTGTATTTGTGAGAAAAATCTTCACATTTTTTCCTCAATTCTAATAAAAAAAAACATGTTTGACTATTTCTAATCATTTTTTTATGTATAATATATGTGACAATCTCATCATCTTTATGTCCTCATTTCCTTCAAAAATGCAGCATTTAAGGAAGTTTTTTTTTTTTTGGAGCAGAAAAGCAAACTTTTCATTACAGCACACACATGTGTGTCTGTCACTTATAATTTATCATTAATTCATCCTTCCTTCCTTTCTTTGTCTTAAATAGTTAAAAATGTTTCTTTTCCTTCTTTTTTTATTCATCATATCACTCACATTGGGGAGAGAAGACAAAAAATCTTTAATGAAAAAAGTTTATGGCTGGAATATTAAGGCTGAGAATGCATTTATATAAAACTTTTTTTAAGCAAAAATCATGGCATGTATGTGAACATTACTTTAATGTTATGTAATGATGGAATTTTTTAATATCAGAAATGGGAGAATGAGAAACTTGAGACAGTTTGCAATTTGAGGGAGCATAAAGAAAAAAAATTTCAATCAAAATTTATTGAAAAAATATTTTTTTACTCTCCAGAGTTTTTGTGCTGCTTGTTATTTTTTTGAGATGTTTTTATAGAGAATTTTCTGAAAGTCAATTTTGCTATTTTGGGAATTTTCAATTACTGTCTTGATTGGATTTCAACTGAATGAATTTAAATTGTTGCATTTTGTGCTATTTTTGGATGCAATGATTCTTAATTTTTTACTAACGGATTTATAAAATTTGATATTTTGCTTCACTTTTCAGTTAAATTTGAATTCTTTTGCTTCAAATATTGAATCTTTTTTGAGTGAATTCAAATTTTTAACTTCTGTTTATTTTCTGCATCTTTTAAATTAAAAATCCATTGACTTTTGCTTCATTTTGAACTCGCAGCATTGATGCAGTTCGACAGTATTCAAATTTTAAAAAGCAGTTTGAGTTTCTGCATCATTTTTGCATCTTTGTCATTGTTTGAAATCAATAAAATTTTTATATTTCAGTTCCCAATCAGATCTGTACATCTTGAAATTGACTGTCAAACGATTGCCAATCCAAATATCATTGCCATGAGTTGATCAAGAACATCAACTATTGAACTTCAAAATTGCAGTATCGATCGAATTAAAAATTCCCAGCACAGCTTCCTACAAGTTATTTTTGACAGTAAACTATTCTCATGACCCAGATGAAAACTTTATTTTTCTCTATTTTATTTAAAAATTTTTGAAAATCAAGAACATGCATAACTGCAAAAAGTTGTGCAAATATAATTCCCTGCTCAAAGCTTCCATCCTCCATGATTATTTTTTCAAAAAAAATGTCCCTCGATATGGTTCTCGGATTATAAAATACTTTATTCTTATACTCTTCTTAAAAATGACGACGACCAAAAAAAAAGAAAAAAAAAGAGGAAATTATTCTTAATATTTTATTCACATTGTTATAATAACGTCAGTCTTGAGAAATGGAATTTTGAGTACAAGTTTACTAAAATATTATTAAAAGGAGGCAACAACAAGAAAAACATAAAATGCAGAACATTGGCTGGAATGTTAAAAAATTTAATCCTTTTTTTGCGGAGAATGCATTTGATTGAACTTTTGTGTGTGGATTTCTCGAATGTCTTTTTAGCAAGGAATGTTACATTAGCCTTCTTTCATTAAAGATTTTCGACTTTTTTTCTCTCGTTTTTATTTTCTCTTCGCAATCGATGATGAAATCAGCAGATTATTTACATGAAATGCATACTTCATTCTGTGCCGCATGCATTTTTCCTCATTTCATATGTTGAGTATTAAAAATTTTCAATTCTGATTTATAGCATTGTTACAAATACTTCTTTATTTATTTTATTTATGGCCAAAGCAATTTTTTTTACTTCCATGAAAACAAAAATAATAATAAAAAAATTTCTCTTTCTTCTTCTTTTTTCATCTTTTTTTTTAAATACTTGTAATAAATTATCATAAATAATAGTAAATAATACAGGATGGAAATTGTAGATTGTTGAGGATAATTGCCTGGAATAATCTTTGCAATTGTTGCTGATTTAATTGAGATTTTTTTTGTTTCTTTTGCCAACTTTGGAGGACTTAACTTGTTAACTGATTTTTAATTGCTTATGTTTTTTTAAACTTTAGATTTTTGTATGAAACGTGGAAAATTAACTGTCAAAATTTGAATTTTTACATATGAAAAAGTACGTTTGTATTTTTTACATATCAACTTTAGGCTCACGTCAATTTTACACATGAATCTAATTTTTACATATCAGATTTGACTTTTGTAAGTTTTTACTCATCAATTTTGACGTACTTAATTTACATATCAATTTTAATGTATTCTAATTTTACACATCAATGTGAGTAATAAAATGAATTTCACAATTAAAAATGCATTTTAAAACCAAAAATATAAGAAAAGTTACTTAAATTTACAGTGACCGATGTAAAGATGAGTAAGAAATACACAAAAGTGTATTTGTATTCAAAAATTTTGGCTTTTTTGGATGCAAAATAAGTTTACACATCAGAAATGTCAATTAGCAAAAGAAACGTAAAATGTACACACACTCATAGAAAAAAAGTAACCATAATATTTGTTATTTGTTTGTTAAACTAGTTTAACAAATTATTGGTTAAGTTTGCATGGGTAAAAAAAATTTCAACCAAACTATTGGTTAAAAATTTTACAATTGAGTTTGTTAAATCAACAAATTTATTTGTTGATAATTGATTTAATTAAATTTTAATTCTTGTATTCAAAACTCTTGTTTGATTAATTTCAAATGATTCCCATTAATTTATTGTGTTATTTTTAACAAGAAAACTGTTTTAAATTGAATTTTGTTGATTTTGTTTAACAAATTAATTTGTTAATTTTAACAAAACATTTGTTACAATGTTTTTATTTGTAATTTGTTTTGGAAAATAATGATTTACAAACCAAATCGTAATTTAAAAATTAAATTTGTTCATTTTTTTAATTCCTACATTTCTATTTTATTATTCATTAATTAATTTTAAAATTTGGATATATTTTTTAAAGAATTATTTATATTGGTTCTGAATCATCTTTTTATTATTAAAAGTTTACAAGCAGCGGACTAGCGGATCATCAACAGGAATTTAGAAGTTAAGCAACCACGAAAACATTTTAAAATAAGATGGGTGACCAAATTAACAATTTTCTGGTTAATATTAACCGAAAATTTGTTTTTTTTTTCTGTAAAAAAAAATTTAACAAAAAGTTTGTTAAATTAACAATTTTTATAGTTAACAATTCAACCTTACAAATAATTTGGTTAAATTTAACAAATAAGTTCGTAAACACTATTTTAACGAATTGTTTGTTAACATTTTCCATACAAGTTACAAACATTTTGTTACTTTTTTTCTATGAGTGCATGAATTTACTGTGACCTTTGTAAAATAATGTACATCATAGCTTTAATCTCAATAAATCAGCAAAAATGTAAATTTATCGAAGCTTAAAATTCCAAACAACCTCAATTCCAGTGTTAATAAAGAAAAAAATCGTGTCAAAAAATAATTTAAATTAATGAATCCGAACGAAATAATAATAATAATGTTAATAATTTATAGATACGGATCATTTTTTCTCCAAAACGTGTTCAAAAAAATGAGTTTCTCTCTGCGGTTATTTTTTTTCGAGCATGAAAAAAGAATTTTGTTCAAACAATTATCATGATAGTGAATAAATTATGCAACAATGTCTTATTAATTCTGTGTTATATACTTGCATGTACAGCAATAACGAACTACGACGACGACGACGCAAAGAAAAATCAATAAGACATTTTTGCATTTTTCATTCTTTTTTTTTATAATATTATTTATATAATTCGTTAAAAAAATAATGTTGAAAAATATTTATATACAAATGAGATAGAGAGAGAGAAGCTTAAGAAGATAAAGTAGGGAAAGAGAAAAATGTTACTTAAACTTTAAAGTTTTTTTTTTAAAAGTAATGAAAATCTCATTAAACAATTTTTAAATATAGAATTTTTTTCACTTTCAATTTTTAAATCCTTAAAAAATGTAAAAATAATTTTTTTTTGGTATTTCTTTCAACCAATATCTAAAGAGCATAGAGCATTAAATACTTTTGTAGATGTCATTTATAAAATTCTTTCAGACTTAAGCAGCAGATTAATTGAAAAAATTAGAGGTATCGATTCGCTTTCTTTTACAATAATTTTTTTGTGTTTCGCAGAGCTTTAAAAGAAGAAAGCTTAAAAAAGAGTTTTTAAAGCAATTTTTGAGCTTGTTTTTTTTTACATATTGAGTACCATCCATCATCTGTGTGTGCGTTTGTACTGTCATCCCATCATAATTTTTAATAGACTTTTAATGATAAAAATCAAGTACTAGGATTGTGATGCTCAGGCGGACTAGTAGACAATGCTAATGGATCTTGTATGGCATCACAGCTCGGCGACGATGGATTTGTTGTCGATGGACTTTTGAGTTGCTGTGTAGGCGAATTCTCATGATATGGACCAGTAACGACACTGTGAAAGAATCTTTTTATAGAATTAAATAGAAGACGAGATGAATGCTTAAAATTTATGTCTATTCTTACCATGGATGCATTGGGAATAATGTTGTCCAACTTGTTGTTGTCAATGTATTCGCTTTATTATGTTGATGTGATTTGCCTCTGTTTGATTCCGCTTTTGTTTTTGGCGAAAATGTACTGGAAATTATTTTATCCTCACTATTATGTGGGGGATGCTTGTCTTTTCTCGATCGTGACCTTTTGGCTGGCTTTGCTGGCATAACTGGTGGCAAATCTTCATCTTCGTCCATAAATTCTTGCTTCATATCATCTTCTTCTAACAGTTCTCTCAAATCAGGATCATTTTCAGGCGTTGTAATTCCTAATTTCTTTAATCTCATTTTCTCAGCCCATTCACATGTTCCGTGCTTCGGTCGATTGAGATTCCTATGCTGATAGAAAATCAATGAAATCCTATTTGGATTCAATCGATTTGGCTTCTTTAATGCAGTCGTTGAATGCATTTCTAATTTAGCACACTCAATGACGACACTGCCATGAGGTAGTGCAACTGCCACACCTCCCATTTGTTTGTCTTGAAAGCACTCGACATTATCATTGACTTCTGTTACTTCGCCAATTACTTCCGTTATTTTTTGTGGCGGTGGATTCATCGCTGTTGGTGGACCAAGTACTGATTGAGGTGGAAAATGAGCTGGAATTACGGGCGTTGCTGTCGGTCCCATTGGTGATGTTTGTGGATATAATCCCCAATTTGATTGAGCTGTTGGCTGACCATATCCCATATTATAGGAGGGATAATTTGATGAGTAATTACTATAACTATTGTATGCATACGGATCGTAGGGATATGCTGAATATCCAATATAATTATTTGGATGTTGAGGTACAGGCTGATGAGGTGTATAATTTCCATAACCTTGTGGATTATATTCAGGCGCCTTTGGCTTTACAAATGCCGTCTCTAATTGATGATATTGCTGACCTTTGCTATATTCATCTTTAATTAAACCATTCGTAAGACTATTATTGTTCGACTCGTATAATCCTTGACTCTGCTGTTGTATATTTGGACTAAATGCTGAACTACTATTTGTGCTACTATTACTGCTACCGGGCCTCGTTGTTGTATCTGGCGATATCTCCTCACCACGTAATTTATTATAGTCTTGTTGCCATTGATAATGATATTGTCGATTATCAATATATTGACCGGTTTGATAATCATAAGAATATGGTGAATCTAAAACAGTACTAGATATTTGATTCGATTGAAGCTGTGCATCAGTGAAATTATCAATCATTGATGCCATATCCAATAACGTACTTGTATTACTGCCATTTCCAGGTATTTGTGTTTGTTGCTGCGGCTGCTGCTGCTGTGGTTGTTGTTGTTGTTGTTGATTATTAGCAGCCTGCTGTGGATGAGTGGGAGTTGAAAATGCGCTCTGGCCTTGATTGTTCTGTGACGGTATTGTTGGCGTTTGTGGAGTCAATTGGGTTTGATTGACAGGTGTTTGTGAACGAGACGTGCTTGATTTTCGACTTCGTGATTTAGATTTTGAATCTTTTGATATTGTTGGCTGTGGAGGTGGGGTTTGAATGATTGGTTGTGGTACTGGAACGGGTGTAAGTGGCTGAGAAATCTGTGGTGTTTCACTACCCTCTGGGTCCTTTTCATTACCACGTTTTTTGCCATGACGTCGACATGGCTGTAATGGTGTCGAACGGACACGAACTTCTGTTGGAAATCTATTTACATTAATTATAATAAGAAATGAGATTAGTCAAATATTCTTAAAGCATACACCATCAGTAGCAAAAATAAGTATAACAATATAAAATGGATCGAAAATTTTACAGGACTCACTTCTCAAGTATTTGAACTGCTCCGGTTTCATGTTTCTTCTTTTGTCCTTCCTCACTATCAAACTCATCAGTACCATCCATTGTGTATAACGGAAGTACATGAAGCTGTTCATCCTCTGGTGCCATTCCATAAGGTCTTGGTTTTAATAATGTCGCTTGCACTGTACATCCATCTTGCATATTATGTAAATCACGATGTGTATGAGCACAAAAATCGACACAACACGTAACACCAGAAAATGGCTTGCCTGTCTTTAATCCTAATCGACAATCAGGTGCTTCCACTTCATATTGCACTTGATTATCATATGCTTTCGGTGCTATCGTCTTATATAATGGACTTAAGATGGTTGCTATAATATTCATACGTTCTTCAATCTCCGCTTCCTCACTCTTTACCGATAATCGAAATTTTCGTACTGTCTTTGAACGTGCGTATTTACAGCCATTATAATACATCGACCACGAACAACCAAATGAATATGAAGCACCACATGTTTCCGGATCAAGTCCTATTGACGAAATGGAATATTTTATGTTATTCGAGATGGATTTTTGTGGTTATAATTTGGAGGGTGTGCAACTGTTTTAGATTTTTTGTAGTTTTACACCCTTTGAATTTCATGTAGTTTCACACCCTCTTTAAAACTTAATGTAGTTTCACACCCTTCGAATTTTATGTAGTTTCACACCCTTTGAAATTCATGTAGTTTCACATCCCTTTGAAACATAATGTAGTTTTACACCCCTTTGAAACTTAATGTAGCTAAACACCCTTTTTATTTAAAAATTGCCAGTAGAAACCTTACCTTGGCAAGCACATGTTCTATTCTCGTTAGTAGCACAACGTCTCGTTGTTGGTAAGCCAAACTTATTTAACTGTAATTGCACAAATTTAAAAATTAATAAGCCTTAAAAAGCAACAATATTACTTCCAAAATTTACCTTATGAACCAAAAGCTTATACATGTTATCAGCTTCAATTAATGGCATAGCATCCCAAACCACAATGGATATCACGATAAATGCAGCCCTACATCTACACGAGAGAAAAAACAAAACAGACAAAAAAAATGCGTTAAGAAAATGAAGAAATGGAAACTTTTTTTGTGAATGTAAGAGACAAATGTCTGTACACAGCTTAAGCTTCTCATTAACGAGAATTAAAAAGTGACAGAATTTATTATTGTGGATAAATGAAAAAGGAAGCAAGAAAAAAAGGTAGGCAAAAAATAATTACCAGAAAAAGGATTTTTTTGTGTGTTAATAAAAATGCCAACATAAAAGAGCCTCAACCAAGCATATGAATAAAGCATAAATATTTAATAAGCGCGAAGAAATAAAATGTGATGTTGATGACAAAAATCATAAGTGATGCTCGTCTTGTAGTGTTGTGTATATATGTGTGTGTGTGTTGTGTCTTATTAAATCATGATTTAAGTCAATTAAATTAAGTAATAATAGACAACAGAAAAGACTAAGAATAGACAGAGAGAAAGATTTTTTTTTTTGATGACAGCCGACCATCAGTTGCTTACCGGTGGCCTTGGCGTCTCTTAACAATGAATAAAGCTTTTTCCTCTGGATCGACTCGTCGAATGACCCATTTAGCTGTGGGACATCCTTGAGTTGATTTTCCTTCCTTGCCAGTGTAGAGAACCTTTTCGATTCTCAACTGCTTGCCAGTCAATCCAGCACGTTGCTCAATTTCTTTACGAAGCTCAGCAACTGTTGATGCACAACCTGAGTAAATTAAAAGATAAGAAAAAGTCAGGATTAAAGTTCATGTCACATTAAAATCCGTTCTACATACCTAAATGTGTATAATAGCTTCCCGGTTCTGGTGGTTTCTTATCCGAAGAAAAGCAATCACATTCAGGTACTTCGGGCTTATTATTTCTCTCATTATACATATCCCTTACAGCTTGCTTCTTACTACGACTTGATGTGGAGGATGACGTTGATCTTTGTGTTGTTACAATCTTCACTTCAGACACTGGTGTTGTCTCTTCTTCCGTAACTTCCTCTTTTATGCTCTGTTGGTTTAAAATTGAAAACTTTCTATAAGTAACTTTCATTCTTTCTTTCTTTCTCAATCAGAGACAGTAGAACATAATAACACAAGAATAAGACGAAGAATTGTGGAAAGTCGTTGACCAACTTTCTTGTGTTCCGATTTTCTAAACAGAGTTGGTAATTGCAATTGATGGAATTAATAATTTTATCTACTATTTTTTGCATCTTTTTCGGATCTTCAAATTTATTTTTGCTTCATTTTTCGCATCTTTAATTTATACATTAATTTTGAATCTTTTGATATTAAAAAACCGTTAAAAATATTCGCATCTCTGCATCAAAAGATGCAAAAGGATTCGCGAGTTTTAGAAATACCAACTCTGCCTTTTAAAAGATAATAAAAGTAGAAAGAAAGATAAACTTACTTGTTCTTTGGTCGGTGTTGTGTTACAAGAGTTCTCAATAGGTACTTCATTAATTGGATTAATTGGTCGTGAAGATGAATAATGCTGTCCAATACCGACATTATCCTTATTAATACCAGATGATATTGCAGCTGCTGCTGCCATATTCTCACTCAAAAACGGATACGGATGTAGAGAATTAGATTGTTCGGTTTTAATGATGGGAGGTGTCGCCGATGGATGAATTGATTCACCATGCTTAGATGATGAGATAGATGGCGACGAGGAAATGGACGTTGGAGCTGATGATGAGTGTTTTGGTATTGGATATGTATGCAGTGGTATTTGTTGTTCAAAATTAGTCAAACTTGTCGAATGATGCGGGTGATGTCCATGTTGTTGATATGCAGCTTGTTGACTCATAAACGGTTGGTATGCATTTTGTGCATGCGGTTGTGGATAATTTTGTGACGGATGATGTGGATAATTTTGATATGGATAATTATATGCACTATATCCTTGAGATTGATGTTGTATATAATCTTGCTGGTATTGTGATTGCTGCTTTTGATGATCCTGATATTGACCTGGCTGTTGTGCATCACAAAAATCCGCATAGCGTATAAAATTCTGATAGTTTTTCTCATAACCATCGTACTTGATATTTGGCGTTGTCTCATCGCCAATTTCCTTCTTAATATTATTCACCATATTCTGATGCTGCTGATACTCATGTGCCGAATTATATGCATAACTGTGCTTTTCATGCTCATTATTATTCTCATGTGAGGATATTTTTTCGATTTTTGGCAACGTGGCTGAGAATTCCTCACTACTACTGCCGCCGCCTGATGGATATGTATGTTGATTGTTATCATTATTATTACCATTGTTATTACTCGAATAATTGTCAATGGCTTTGGGTTCTTTTGAGCTGCTCTCTTCTTGTATATCTCTACTACTATTATTGCTACTACTTCCTCCACCTCCACCCGGATCAATACCAATATTTTTTTCATTTAACTGCTGCTTATGCTCAAAAAAATCCTGCTGCTGTTGCTGTTGCTTACTACTATGCTCTTGCTCTTGCTTAATTATCGATGATTTCCATGAATCATTCATTTTGAAGCCACCATCATCTCCTGCGTCAGTAATCTTACTCTCAATACTATTATTATTATTGTTATTACTGCTTAATGGTAAATTATTATTATTGCTGCTGTTATTACTCAAATTATCACTACTGAGTTGAGCCTGTTGTTGCTGTTGTTGTGCTGATTCAGTAGATGATTGGAGATGCTGGTGGCTATACGATAAAAAATGACCGGTCGAGGATGTTGATGCTGTTGATTGTTGCTGCTGCTGCTGATCCTTGTCATTCTTATTCAATATCATCGTTTTTAACCGCGTATTCAAATTTATTCGATCAGATTGATTAAACATTTCGCCATGCTGACTTCCATTCCAGGCATTTTGATTCCAATCTTGTGAGCCATCTTGCATCTGTTGATGATGTGATGTAGGCGTTATCATGCCACTCGTTGGATAATGTTGATTATTATTTGGCGTTGTGGATCCACCATGATGATGACTTGATGGCGATTGTGCCTGTGATGTTGGACTCATATGAATGCCATTATTATTATTATTATTATTGAAATGACTTGGCGATTGCTGTTGATATAAATGATTTGATGATGAATTTGGCCGTGATGGTTGTTGACGACTAGGCGATTGTGTATTCGAGGACGCAGGTGGTTGCATCTGATTTGATGATGCAGTCGATGTGTTTGTTGTTGATTGATTATTTGCTGTTGTATTAATGGAATTTCCGCCATATTCTCCCAAGCCTGGGTATCCATTACAGTTGAGTGAGCGCGGCGGAACGCTGTTCACTCGTGGATAGCCAGGCATTTCGTTTCCCGATGACGTTGTCAATGACATTGTCATTTGCTTATTATTCAATTGATCTAAATGTGACGGTTGCTGATGTGCTGCATAATGTGAATGATGTTGTTGATGATTCAACAGCACTGTCGGACTTGCGATTTGACTATATGCTGTAACATTTGGCGCAAAACTAACACTCTGTAATGACACTTGATTTATTGGTGTGATTTGTTGTGCTTGAAACTCATAACGTTGAATGGCTGGTGAACTATAGGCTGTTGTTGCGGTACGACTGTACGGGCTGTTTGGATCGAACTGAAGACCGGTTGTCTGTACATAACCGTTTGGATATGCATAGCCCTATATTGTATATTGTGTGTGTTGGTTTATGTAAAATAGAAGAAAATAATAAATTGATTAAAAATACAGGTATTGGACATGATAAACTTCGTCTTCAAATACCTGAGGCTGAAAGTCGAGTGAGTTTAATGGCGCAATTGCAGTAGCAACAGACGCTGTTGTACCGCCATTCTGTGATGGTATTTGTTGAATAAATTGATTTTGCCACGTCTGTGATGGATCTGTTGTGGCTGTTGCGGCAGTTGCTGTTTGCCATGTTGGATAGAATGCCATTGGTGCCTAGAAAATACAAAATTTGAGATAGAGAATATAAATAAATTATGACAGGAACAAAATAAGTTTTAGTGAAAATATGGAAATTACAATTAAAGACAGTCAAAAGTCGTAAATTAAAAATAAATTGAATCCTGCAGCTTTTGTACTTTTCGATGAATAATTCCAGTCTCTTGACTTGACTCGACTTGAAACTTGTCTTGTCTTGTCTTTAGAGATAATAACACGAGAGGGATTTCTTAATTAAAATAAAAACTTTCTTTTCTCGTGCATGAAAATTGAAAATTTTTTTGTGCTTGATATTTTGAGTCTTGTTCTGATAAGAATGAAAATAAGGAACAGAGTTTTTTTTACTGTCAAAGTGATAAAAACTTAGTGAAAGATGAATAGATATAATATAGATGTAAAGCTTTATGAATGTTCCTCATACATTTTCTAATGCTTTACATGTTCAGGGGTGTAATTGGGTATATTTACGAGATGAGGGGGGTCTGGACAATTTTTCTGAAGGGGGTAACAACATGATGGATAAAATTGATTCAACTTTTCGATAAAAAATTTTATTTTTGATTTTTCATCGAATCTTTTCCATTATGTTGTTACCATCTCGATTTTTATACAAAATACTAGTTAAATTTACAGTATCTAATTTAAAGTATTCTCATGCAAAATTTAATCTCAAGCAACGTCCAAACCCCCTCACTCCATCCCTACCAATGATTCATCTCTCAGCCTCAGAAATGAACAGAAAAAAATGTAATAAAAATCTCAAAAAATTTATTTTTGTGAGTATGTTACAGAAAAATCTCATAACCATAAAAAATTATGGAAGGAAAAAAAAGGCAGCATAGTGAATGTGTGAGGAGATGGGAGTGAAGAATAAAGCCATATTAATAAGAATTGAAACATAAAAAAATGGGAAAAAATTGTCGAAGAGAAAAACAAGCGAAAATTTATTATTAATCATAAACATAATCACTTTTTTTTATTCTTGAAATTTTGCCAAAAAGTTCCCAGTTTTTTCATAAATTTGATTTTCTTTCAACTTTCTCGCAAAAAAAAATATTGTAAAATTTTCGCTATTCTTTGGCTGTTTCTGCTGCTGTTCTCTCCCTTCGCGGCATAATTTATTTTACTTTATTTGCATCACTCCCTAGTGTGAGCGAGCTCACTCGCGCGTCCTCTAGCGCAACATCTTTTTAACATGCATTAAATGAATAAATAATTTTGCAATATCCCAGGTTGATTAAAGTTTTAGTATGCATAAAAACACGGGTGGTGTCATTTTCGGCAATGTTGCCATATTTCTTTATGTTTTTATTTTCTTGTAGATGGAAAAACTAGCAAAAAGAGACCGCGTGCTGACTTTTTGATTGGATTTTCTGAAGCGCATTTTTTCGTTTTCTTTTTGGAGTGAGGCAATGTTTTTGGATACTTTTGATTAAATCATTTTTTATTTATAGACTGAATTCCAAAGGGGAATATTGAGCTCTGATTAATATTATTACTGAAGGTCTACGTCTACTAAAAACAAAATTGAAGGAAATGTCCTACCTTAACGTAATTGACCATCAGATAATTATTCTACAAATTTAAAAGAAATTAAGGTTAGGTGCATGAAATTAAAATAAAATTATATTTTTAATGGAACTAGGTTTTAAGAACTTAAAATTTTTTGAATTGTGGCAACAAAAATTTAAAATTTTTAAAACCAAAAAAGGGACATTCGTAAGTGATGTCTCTAAAAAATAAGCGTTTTTAAACTTTCAAGAATTAGTGGAGCTTTAAAAGTCTTAAATATTAGTTTGTAATTTTGAGCTTTTCAATCCATGACAGATTATTACTGATATATTATTGTTGTGTCATTATTTATATCCTTGGAACTTAATCCTATTAATTCTTTTCATTGTACCAAAATTTGGATTTCGATTCAAATCCAGCACGGTCGCACCAGCTTGGTGCCGGATTTCTGATAGATTAATCGACTTGTGCCATTCGGGTCAGTCATTCAATTTAACCCAACCCAAACTGAACCTCATATAGCCTGCCAATAACTTTGTAAATATTATGCTAAAAAAATAATAGAATAAAATAAAAATTCATTCTATAGAATCTAAAATATGTATATACTGCTTATGTATTCGTGTATATGTATTTATATCCACCTTTATATTCATTTTCTTCTCCTTCTTCTTCCTTTATTTCATATGGATGATGTGGAAGGAGGAATAAAAGAGCAGAGCGAGGTGAGGGAGTGAGAGACGATGGCACACACCAACTTTAATTGAATATTTTATGAAAAGCAATTTTTGCTACTGTATTTTTTTTTCACGTTATTAGAATTTTATGGAAATTGCAAAATAAGGAAAATTAATGAGCTCATGAGATTCTTTTCATGCGATAAATTTTCCATTTCTTTATTATTAATTTTTGCCTCAGACTTTAAGACATTCGCGAAATGAAATATTGAATGGAGATTATATCACGATAGTTTTTATTTTCATCACATAAATCGGGGCGATAAAAATGAGAGACTCCACAAAAAAAGGCAGCCAGAATGAATGAATGAATTGCACGAAAAGATATAAATCGAATTTTTTACGAGCAGCGGAGAATGTTTTTTTTCTCGCTCTGTTGTTTCATAAATAAGCACGTGGAAATGTGCAGCGAACATAAAAAAACATAAAAATAAATTTACAAATGTATATAATATGGAAAAGAAATGCTCGTTTATTATTTTCGTGGGAGCAATTTTCATATTCAATTCTCATATTCATCTCTCTCGGATGCTCTCTTTGATGTCAGTGTAAATTTGTGTTTGCTATTCTTTCAGATTTTTATAGCAGATTGAAAATATAGTTTTTTGAAGATATCAAATCAATAAGCAAAAGGCCAAGACGATGAAGAAAAAGCTTGAAAATTGTTAATTAAAAGATAAAAATCTTAATTAAAATCCGATTAATAATTCCCCATTCAGTTCATATACATAAATGTGTTTAATTTTAATTAAGTTTCAGATAACAAGTTTTCCTTCCTTTGTCTCCTCTGTCTCTATCTCTGACTCTTCCTTTCCATTCCTTATCACTTTTCTGTCACCTCCCCCATCAACCTCAATGTCTGCATGCACGACATATAGTTTCGTTCATGCGTTTGTCTCGGAGGTGCTTTTTATGGTTTTGTGATTGAAAAATTCATAATGCAACTTCCATTGAGGATTAACAAGAAATAAAAGTTATTTGCTCAATTTGAAAAATTTATTTAAATTTTATTTTAAATTGAACACGTGCTTATATCAGAAATTTCTCAGAGTTTGAAAATAAATGCATAAATTTTTCATCAACTTTGTGGTAGTTTGAGAATTTTCAAAACCATTTTTAAAAATGTTTTGGATATGACCAGGAAAAGTTTGAAATTTTATGTAACTGGGTTTTAATGTCATGTAGTTTGTTTTAAAACTTATGTAATTAATTGTTTAGAATCTTGTCATTCTTGTTTTATTATAATTAACAGTAACTAGAGGCTTAGCTCAGGAAAAGTCACATCTAAGCTATGATTAGGCAAATCAAGTAATTCTAAACTTTCTAGAATCTTTATGCTGATCTAAGTGGCTAGTTTCTATGGCTATTCAAATTATCCTGACCTAGAATCGAAGATTGATGCTTTCAATTCTAGATACTACTCTGGATAGTCCATTTGAGAAAAAGTTTCACATTTTTAGATGAAATACTTTACAACTCAACAATACAGCAAGTCCTGGACTATCAAATCTACATAATGTAAAGCAACTGAAGCCTAGCTTAAAACGTAGAATTTATACAAATCAGTTAATTGTGTCCAGGGATATCCGGTGTTCCCAACCTAGTCTTAGTAAATTTTTATTTAAATCCCTGAATTTCTTCGATTGAGATTCAATTTTAAGGGCTGAGTAGCTTAATACTCACCTCATATGACAACAATGTCAGTTAATAAACTCTTTATTGCAGCTTAAGCTTTACATAGGAAAATAGATAATAGTGAATGTAATCAAGCATGAAACCCATCCAAACCCCATTAACATCCAACTACGAGCCAATCCTCTAGTTTGTAAATTAATTTTTCCTCAAACTAATAAACTTTTATATTTGTGACGAGGATGGAGAAGATGATGAATCATGTACACAAACTGCCACCCAAATAAGATTGCAATCATATTCAAGATTGATGGTGACACGAAGATGCAAGAAAATTGCATTAAATATGCATAGAAAAATGGAAGAAGAGGAACTCTTATCAATGATCGGCATCGCTCAGAGCAATTATTAATCTCTTACTTCAATCGATATTGAGGCAAAGAAAAAAAAATTGTTTGCATTTAATTAATTTTTCTTTTCATCTTAAAGCATCGTTATTACTCGAAGAGGCTGCACATATCAGTGACTGGATATGAAGAACAAATTTACACAAAAAAATGCAAGAAAAAAATCCAATTTGTGTGAATTTTTGTGAGTAATGAAACTATACGACATACATACGTATATGTATAGAGTATGACTGGATGTTAGTTATGTTTTATGAATAACTCATTCCCTCGTCTTCCTCGACAAAGTATAAGTTTTTCGTCGCTCACCAGCACACCAGCATCAGAGCCAGAAGAGAGTGAGCAGAAGGAGTGAAGGCAAAACACACAAAAAAAGATCGAAAATGCGCAATTGATATGCGCATGAAATGCACGAGAAGTGAGAAAGAGAGAGGGAAAAAAGGAAAATTTATGCACGCCAACGAAGTTGATAAAGAAGAAGAAAAAAAAATTTAATTTAAACATTCAACAAAAGTGCAGGGTTTTCGGCACAAAAATTTATACATTCACTTCTATCCGCTCCGAAAGTTTCTTATTGTTTAGTTATCGATAAAATATAAAGTTTTGGTGCACATTAAATTTTTTTTATCTCATTCCTTAAAAGTTTTCTTCTTTTTATTTTCTTAAAGCTTCATTCATTCATTAAAAAATACGACAATTTACTTTAAATATAAATTCTCTCGTGCTTATTCGGAAGTTTTTCCTTCTTTTTTTTCTTTTTATCAACTTTTCTTATTGCTGTTGCTTTCTTTTTGGATGTGAAAAAAAATAAATTTTATATAAATTTTCCTCCACGACATGGGGAAGTGCAAGGAACAAAGAAGTTTTCGAACATTTTAGGTTGAATTGGGACGCATTTCTGTTGCTGGATTATTTGGGGAAGTAATCAATATGCTTAGCTTGTGCATACATTCAGAGCAGAGATTACATTAGCACTTGACTAGGAGCTTCTAATACATTAGCACTTGACCAACCAACTCCATTCCTGTGAATACACTAGCTCATACAAAAATGTTGCAGGTCTTTATCTTTTAGACATAAAGTTCAACTTTTCAATGAAAATTGCAACAAGATCAGATTAAGGATCTCATTAAGCATCAGCTTTAAGGATCGCTCTTAAATCAAAGCCGTTATTGAAGGTATTTTTTAATATCTCAAAACATCCTCAAAACAGCATCAGCCCATCATATGCACACGACAAAACACCCCAAAACCCAAAGTGCAACCGAAATGCAGCACTTCCTCCCCAAATTCATGCACTAAAAACTTCAGTTTATTTTATTTTATTTTCTCCTTCATTTTCTTCCTTTTTTTCGTAACTTATGTAAAGTACATAGCAAAAAAAAGTGCACATAAGGTATGTACACAAGAGGAAAATAAGAAAGCATACATGCATCAACATACATGTTGTAAGTTTTCATTATACATACAGCACAAGCAGAAGAAAAATTGGATGATTTTTTAATGAAAAAAGAAGAAAAAAAAAATTCAACTCAAGTTTTCTTGAAAGTTAAAAAAAATTCAATTTTGTGCTTTTGAAAAAAAAAATAAGAAAAATTTCCTCATCTTCCATCCAAGCATATACACACAACATAACAAAAAAAAAAGGAAAGAAAATGAATTTTTAGGGGGCAGAGAGGGGAAAATTAATTTAAATTTGAAAAAGTGGAATGAAAAACTTTAAAGCTCTAAAGCTTTAAAAAGCTTTATAGTGAATGAAGGCAAAACAACATGAAAGAATGAGGAAAAAATAATAAAATAAAAAAAAATATTAGAGAAGGGAAAAAAACGAGCGGAAAATTAGATTTTTATGTTTTTACGCTTTACAGCATTTTTCCTTTCAAATTAATGATCCATCACCATCAATGTTGTAAGAGGAACAAGAAAGGAAGAAAATACTGAACTGAGAGCAATCGAGAATATATGAAAGAATTAATTCGATTTGTGCCCTCCACCCCATTAGACTTTTTTTTCTGCTTTCATGTATAAGACAGAGAAAATAATGTTTTTTAATGTAACTAATATGTTACAGCGTTTTACAAACTTCCGGCAATTTTTTAAGTTTTTTTCCTGGTGTTTCGCAAGTATTTATTAATGGTTGAATATTGGATTTGGGTTTTGTGGTGCTGCATATGTTGATTTCGATAGTTTTTCGATGATCAACTGGATGTTGAGTCTTGGTTTGAAAGATTTTATTGAAGCTGGACATTAGGGATGTAAGTGAACTATGTGTGTCAATTTAGATAGTATTGAAGATGACCCAATAGATTTTGAGCCTGACTATAATACTTTTTGCTCTTAAGAAGCTACATATGTCACTTTAAGTAGTTCTGCTTAAATAGATGATTCATTATGATTATGTCCGCTATGACCCCTAAGACCCCCCATTAAAAGAACTTTATAAGTATTTTTTAAACAAATCTCAAAAATTTGACCAACTTTCAATCTTAATTAACCTCAAAAATTCCACAAAATCCTCAATAAGGAAATCAGATCATGGCAATCAGCCAATGATGACCTTAACAATCATTCAGATAGTTTTCATTTCTAGTAAAGCTGACTCAACTGTTTCAATACTTCAAGGAACTTTTTCCTTGCCATTTACGTGTGTAGACTTAACATATACACATATACAAGAAAAGAAATAATATTGATAGCTCAGTGACTTGCACAAAAAAAATTCAATTATTTAAATTTATGTTTTAGAGACTTCACATTTGCGCAATTTCAATTTATTTTCATGCATTTTTCATTCTTTTTCTTAGAGCAAGTAATCTGAACATGTTCAATTTTTTTTTTTGTCTATCTTGTCTAAAAATACTTTATGCTGCTACTACTACTGTTGCTGACTGAATTCAGTGTACAAACAGAAGAAGATGAAAAAAAAAATCTATTTCTGAAAGTGAATAACAATAGAAGCACTTACCATTGGTTGCTGTGGTTGTTCCTTCATGGTTTGAGCAGTTGATGACGGAATTTGTTGAATATTTGCTTGATGTTGCTGATGATGTGGTTGTTGTGCGGTTATTTGTGTCGCTGCAACGCCAATCAAATTTGTTTGGTGCTGATTTGTCGGTGTATGTTGACTGGCACTTGCTTGATTAGGTGAGGGTTGTGGTACAGCTGCCGGTGCTGGACTTGACGATGCTTGTTGTTGATTTTTTACAGAATTACGCGGTGATACAACACCGCCTAAATTCAATGCCTTACGACCTCGACCACTTGTCTGTAATGAGTCAGAAAAATTGTGAAGAAAAAAAATGATTAAAAAAAATGTTGAAAAATGGTAAAATTACATGAAATTAAAATTAATTGATACTGCCAAAGTAATTAAAAAGAATGTGTATGAAATATTTTATACTGTAAAAAATGAGAATTAATGTCGCCTAATGCATAATTATAGTCAATGCGAGCGAATGTACAAGGAGAGAGGAGACAGAGCAGAAGGAGAGCAGCAAAAATATTGCCAAGCCATGTTGGACAGGTAGAAAGCAAAGTAGCAGCCTGATAATTAATCATAATCACTGTAGGTAGAATAGGAAGGAGATACACATATATATAAAATACAGTCAGGGTCGAAAAATCCTCAACTAATATGTAATTAATCATCTTTTTTCAACCATAAATTTATTCAGTTTTTTTTAATGAAAAAAAAAATCGTCCATAAGAGAATGGGAAATTTTCTTGCTTGTCGTCGCCATCGTCAAACATGTTTTTGCGCTTCTATTTATATTTTTTTTTTCGTGTATGTAAATATCAACTTTTTATTTTTCTACATACTGAGTACTAAGAAAGTACACAAAGGGTGTGCCAATGGATGGATTGTCAACTGAATGTTGGAAGTTGGGCTTAATCTTACTGTTTTCAGTTTCTCCTATCAAGGAGACTGTGTTGAAAGACGAGAGAAGAAAAGACACTGGGATCTAGATTTATGGATGTTTTGAAATAGAATGGATTCAGAGATGTCAAACCACATGTAGGGGAATCTGTCTGCTACAGCAAGGTTCCTTTAGCTGAGATGCTGAGAAAAAGCTGTTTAATCAGAACTCTTTCATAAAAACGTCGGTTCAAATCCTACTAATGGCCATGCTCTCAATCATTCAATAGGATGGATTGGTGTTGCAGTCCTCACGTCATTGCAAAGCCCTAGCATTTTTATAATATTCATAGACCATGTGAATCCTAACCCTTTGAATTCCCAACAATAAGCAGCCACCAGAAAAAATCATAAAGTTGAAAATGAGATGAAATTAAATTTCAAAATCAGAAAACTTTTCATTGTTAAGATTTTCACAATTTGCTTCCTCTCACAAAACTTATGTTCATGATATGTATTGTATTATATTCCCATAATTCTTCTCGCACTTCCAACCTTTCTTAAAGCTCTCAATACATGTACACGCCAGAAAAGGTGAAAGAAGCGGAAGAAAAAAAATATAAAAATCATTTTTCTCCGTAAACATGGAACAGAAATCTAATTGCTCCATTTTAAGTTACCGGGCGAGGATGTTATGGACATTATAGAGGGTGTCAAAGGTGAGAACAACAAAAAGTGCTAGTTAAAGAAGGAGGAAGGAAGAAAAAAATATATAAAAAATAAAAGAAGTAGAAAATGAAAATTTATGGTTGGACATAAATTATAATTTATGTGTGTATGTGTTCTCATTTTTATTATTTTAGAGCGCAAAATTTATTATGCTGTGTAGATGTGTTGTGTAGCTCACATTTGTAACCTTGCATGCTTCTTTTTCACTATTTCCAATCCAGTTTTTTTCCTTAGTTTTTCAATTTTCTTTTTCTTCGACTTAATCAAATTGAATTTTCCTGACATTTAGATTTAAAATTATGTTCAAGTTTAAGTAAATAAAGTTCAGATTTCTTTTAAGTCATGTTCCGAACAGCAATGCCATTGCATTCGAGCTGAAACTCACGTAAACTTTCTTATGTAATGTATTTATACTTTCTCGAGTAATGTCTTTAAGATATTTGTGTATCGTGAAATAGAAATTTAATGGTTCTGTGGAAATAAATTTATGGCTTTACTTTCTGATACTTTTTTGGTGATAAGGAATTGGATTCTTGGGGTTCAAGGAGTACGAAAGTATTTAAAATTGGCTGAAAGTTTGTGTTTTTTGAAAAGGTTAACATTAAGAATCTGAGTATTTGAGAGTTTGATCAGGTTTGATGGTCTTGACTAACCTGAAAATGTTCTGATCACAATTCTAACTCAGAAGCTTCATTTTTGATTAAGTTTCTAATCATAAGTTGCGATTTTCACTCAAATCCAGGTTTTCATTAAAAAACTATGTCTTCAGAAGGTTTGGATCCAGTTATTTCACAATCTAGGACACACATTACTCTAAACCACTTATGTAGCATAAATTCTGTGTGCTACTATAGTCTAGTGTGGCAATAAACTAGCATGTCGCATAGCAAACATATGCTTGAGTAACATAGAAATAAAGCCTTAAAATCAATATAAATCCATCATCAACATCCACAATCCCTGAACACCAAGAATATATCGATTAAAATATTTATCAAGAGCCAAACCCCGTTCCAATTCCTTTTCGTCTCGACGAACACCTCCAATTTAAAAAATAGCTATTTGTCAATACATATCCAATAATAATTATGGCTCTCAACCTGACAATTTGAAATTTAATAAGCAACCAACAATATTTTTTATATAAATCCTTTTACATAGCAATTTGGAAAGGAACATAAACATCGAACGTAATGATTATCCTACGTGATAATTAACGAACGGAATGTAAACGATTCCTTTTAGTCATAAAAATTCTAAAATATGAGGATCATAAAAATTTAATTTTCAGATTCTCGAATAAGAAGACAATTTAAAGGAATGAATCAAAAACATAAGAATAAGAATGATTGAGGAAAGTAAAGGATATTAAGATATTTATAATTTGAATAATGGCTTCATGGTTTTCATAAACGAAATTAATGCTGTGCAATTTCTTTGATTAATTTTCTTAGAATCTCCCATTTTGTTCATGCTTGCTGTTGCTTAAAAATGCCTTTATGGAGATTTTTTTTTCGGCATTAAAGGAAAAATATTGCTCAACATACATAACTCACACAGCACAGCTCCCAAAAAAAATATGAGAAGGAATAAAGAAAAATTTATGCAATTAATGCAAATTGCAAAAATAACAGCGACGCTCAAGGCACTCAAAAATTTCAATTACACTCTCGGGGTGTTTTGCAATAAATCACGGAGATGAAGGAACGAGAATGAGGAAAATTGGAGAGAAAGGAGCAGAAAAAAAACTAAAATTTCCATAATTTCCTTTTTACAACCCACACAGGGCTGGAGCTGCTTGCTTGATGATGATGATGATGATGGTGATGTGTATGAATGTACATGCTGACTCAAAAAAAAATATATTAAGAGGAGTCAAAGTAGAGAGTTGAAAAATTCCAGCTCAACTCCTCCCATGAGCCGTCATAAAAGTTCTTAATTGCATGAAAAGCCATCAACGCCATAAAATTTATCGCCGATGCAGAGAAATGTTAAAATTTATAAATAAACGTACACATAAACTACTACAACAAGCTATCATTATTATTCCTATTATTATTGTTTAATTTGAGTATGAATAATATCACTGATGCTGATACCACACTGCTGGTGTTTAGTGCCATTATTATTCAAATATTTTTGAACATGTTGTTTAAGGCTCTTTATGTGCAAATTAAGACTATATTTCTGGACCTAAAGTTTCTTTCAAGAAGCTGCAGTACCATGATGTGATGAGATTGCGACAGACACTATGACTTGATAGGAATGAGGAGTAATGGAAGGGAAAATGTTTTGGAAATTTATGCAAATTGAATTTTCACCAGCAAAATATAATTTTAGCAATATAAATTGAAAATGGCAACACGTATGCAGGGATGAAGTTTTGAGAAAATAATGCGATTGTCATTGAAAAGGAGTAGAGGATGATGTTGATGATGGAAAAAAAAGGTTATTTAGTGCTTTCTATTGTTTATGACAATGTTATTATTGTTTAATTACAATACGCTTATTGATGAATTTTCATTATTATTAAAATATTGTCTATCCACTTTGTTTATTTTATGCTGTATGCGTGGCATCTAAATTTATGTACTTTCGGGTTAGCGGTAAAGTATTTTAATGAAAAATTCAGGCACTAAATTATATTATTTCTCTCCCAAATAGCAATGTACGAAAAAAATGCGCTTCCTCTTGGGAGAATTCCCTTTTATATATGAACACATGTATATACATGAAATGAACAACAAGAAGTGCAAAAAAAAAAATAAGAAACATAAAACATAGTGAAGGAAAATAAAGTCTGGGAAAAGCATAAAAATAAATTGCCACCATCAACTCTCTTGTGAGCTGGGAAAAGGTATTGGGAGGTGGTAGAATTTTTTGTCGAGTTGCTGTAGCTTTGGTGTGGGGTGAAGAAAATAAAAGAAAAAAAAGAATCTATCGACGAAGGGGGAAAGAGAATGGAAATAGAAATAGATATGAAAGAAGCAGGCGGCGTAAGAAAGGAAGGCGAAAAAAGTGGCAATAGTGGAATTTCTGTTACAGGCATGAGAAGATATCTAATAGCATACATACATAAAAAATGGGAGCGAAATGAAATATTGTGTTGTGATAGTCTGAAGTGAAGTCATATGGGAATTCCACAATATTTCTTTTATTTCATTTCCATTCCATTCCGCCGACATTCACTTGAGGTTATCGCCTTTATGCAGGTTCACTCTCTCTCACTCATTGCTTATCAACTTTATAATTTTTATTAAGAAAAAAAAGTGCACTTTGAGGCCAGTCTTATGGAAATAAAACTTTCTAATCTAGACAAGGTTGTAAATTTTAACGTGGCATACATAAATGCAGATTGGGAAGGAGAAGGAAGAAAGCTTTGAAACTATAAATTTTCACGATAATCGTAGCATGTGCATATACATAGACATGAACATATATACTGAAAATATTGATTCACATTAAATTTCACATACACGATAGATAATAAGCTTCTTTTGCTTCCTTTATTTCCACGTATGAATTTATCCAACACTAAGCTCCTGTGAGCATTCTAAAGGAACGAAAAAAAAGTATATTTTTTCTTATCTGATAGATTTATTTCGTCCATCGAGAGTCATAAAGTTTAAGACTCACACGAATTTTAATCTCTTTGACTCATACATTGTCTGCCTTGACGC